CGCCTCCGCACCCAGAAACGTTAAAGCCACGAATACCAATCTGTAAGCTGCCGAGTTTTTGTTAGGGTGGTTACCTGCCACAAATCATCACACAAATAAAGGTACATTTCAGTTCTCAAAAATCGTCTCTACGATATTTTTATATATCATTCGGATTTTGAAATCAGACACTGTCACATCTCATACCTGATTCTGCCATGGTTAAGGAGGAAGTCGCAGGAAAAATTGTCTGCATCACATATGTAGCGATTTCTTTGGGGCAGATAAATGCCAGCTAGTGAATTACAGGAAGTTTACAGGAGAAAGGAAGGTAAAATAAACAAAAATGGTGCTACTTTCTGCTGTTAGGAATAGCTTCTTTAAGCGATGTAAGATTATCGATCAGTCTGTAAAATAAAATGAAAAATAAAAAGTAATCTGCAAATTTGCAACTGGAAGCAACCTAGGAGTGAAGGCGGGACGGAAGGGCAGGTCTGCCTCGCCTGCAAGGTTCGCAGTATTATTATATATTTTTTTATGTAGAGAAGACCCTTGGGGGCATTTGTAGTGACATTGCACCACTTTACAGTAATGAAGCCCCCCCTCCCCGAAAAAAAAACACCCTTACGTAGGAACATGTGCTTGAATTAGATGTTACACCTGTATGTTGAAGAAACAAAGAAGTTTGCGCTTGCACTTAGCTAGCCTGTAAGTAAATACACAGAAGGGCACGGACGGCCACATCTAACTTAACCACTGTTTCCTTTAATACCTTTTGACTGATCTGAAACTATACTGTATTTGGGTGTCATTTATGTCTTTTTGTTTGTTTTGTTTGTACTATGCGTGTGTAATGCTTTATATGGTCAGTTTATCGGAAAAGTGCGAAAGCATATCATCGCATAAGTGTTTTGAAATCCCTAATGCCAAATTCTAAGGATCGTTATTTAAAACTAAAATATATTAAGAAAAGGTAAGGAGGAGCTGTAATGGCGAGGGAAGGAAAGTTATATCTATGAGGAAATGTTCGTTATGAGGCAAAGGGTGAATGAGGGACATGAAATGCAAGTCTCAGTGATCCCATGATTCTAGGTTTGTGACTCTCTGTAAGGATGAAGGTCGGAGTGAGCGAGCCTCTCAGGTAGTACATTATACATAATACATGTACAACTATTGATTCACACTGTATGATGTATAAAATCAGACAATAAAACTAAAAATAAGGAGAGATTTTTTTGGGTTTAAACGAGATTCTTGTTGCGTCATCAGCTTGACGTCATGGCTGAGTTAACGTTTCACTGAACTATTATCATCCTTGATGTAAACGACGCACTTTACTCCCGTCGCATATTTGTTTTAGCAATATTTAAATCCTGGTAACTGAAACGCTGAGCTACTATAAACGCTGCCACATATGTAATAATATATCACCAACATTTTATTAATCGACGCCGGAAACGGATTTGGAATGAAGCCATTTTTTAGCGCCACGCTGGTTTATTGTATTCGCAGATCCAGACTCTGTAAGGTAAGAATTTCTTGCTTATTTTCTTATTGTATTTCCGGATACGCTAAATTTTGAATAACAGATGCATGAAAAGCAAAATAACCATGATAAGTGCACATCTCCCATGTTGGAAACTGTGGTTTGGGAAACTAGCGACAAATAGAATGGCGCTTCGTTCATGCCGGGGAAGATGGATGAGAAATATTAATTACTAGCTATTTAATTAATCGCCTAATATTGCGTTTTTAAGATTTTTCTTATTTTTTCACTTGTCATACTGTATGGACAGTATGAATAAAAGTATATACTCTTGTATGTGATGAATAACAAATAATAGCAAAAAATGTATTCCTGGAGGGAGTCTTTGCATACTTGAATAAGAATGAGAGATAGACACACAAACATATATGTGCATTAGATGTATACACATTTATGTAGATATATACATGCAGACATATATATATATATATATATATATATATATATATATATATATATATACATACACACACACACACACACACACACACACACATATATATATATATATATATATATATATATATATATATATATATATATATATATATATATATACACACACACACACACACACACACACACACACACACACACCACACACACACACACACACACACACACACACACACACACATATATATATATATATATTATATATATATATATATATAAGACACACACACACACACACACACACACACACACACACACACACACACACACACACACACACACACACACACACACACACACACACACACACACACACACACATATATATATATATATATTATATAATATATATATATATATATATATATGGTCTTCATTTCACATTATTTTATTCCGAAAACACAATTTGACTAAATAAGAGAAGATTGTATCACATATCAAATAACATATCGTGATTATACTACTTATTGCATAAACAAATCTGAAATTATCCCTCAGGCTTCAGGTCAGTAGCCTAAA